TACACCTTAAGAAATTAACATATCGTGATACAAAATGTCCAAATCTAGAAAAAGAATTTTGTAAATCTTGAAACTTTTATAGTTGTTTTATTTTTGCAGTGTCTGTTTTCATTTCATTCACATCAAATTGTGTGCAAATATGGTGTTTTCATGTACAACAACTAACTGTACTATGTTGTTTCAACATCCTTTTCCCTCCTACTGTAACTCTAAAATAAAACCACTGTGACAGTAAATGTACAGTGATCAGCTATCTTTTTTTTCTGCTATAGAAATCGGAAATGGTTGCATTCCAATTAAGTAATACAAATAAATTGCTCAGAATCTAAAGTAATATAATCGTAAGTTTTGACGCTCTGGCAAAGTCATCATTACAGACAAAAAATTCAGCCAGGGCCAGTCTATTCCTGTAGACTGATGAAACCGTACATAAACAGAATGATACTGCAGGAACCAACCCATGGAAAAGAAGTTATGGAAAGCCAGGGAAAAATTCACCAATCAACAGGACAGAAATACCTTGGTTGTCATAATGTGAGACAGGAATTGGGGAGGCAAATTTAAAAAACAAGGTACTGAGTGAGCTTGTGAGTATCTGACTGATTTTATTGGACACTAACAAAGTTCAAGTGGCACTAGTACCCAATAGTTGTCTGTGACATTACTGGAAGGAAGGGCATACTATAGGCATAACTAGTGCCAAACTAACTATGCAAGCACAGGATGTACAAGGTGGAACTTGTACATCATGCGTGATTGGGCATAACGTCAGGAACAGTAGCCCGCATTAGCATAAGCATGCAGTGACTCCCACTGTCTCCGACTCCTATGTACCTGGTTGGTGCATTTCTAAGGATTACAGGGCTCAGAATAACGACATACAGTGAGTGAAGGCAATTCCACGTACCTAGACTCAACCCTTTATCCCTGGCTTAGTTCTCTTTTGTATGGCAACAGGACTGTCATACAAATTGCCTTGAAAGCAATTCTCACGATGACAAACTTCGTGGGAACGAACACTGACTAGAAATACCACAGCAACACATGACCATAGCTTGTCAGAGAACTGTTCTCTGGGGTATCAAAAAAGGATGATAATATCAACTTTCATCCTGCAAAGTCAGGGTGCAAGTGTAACAAAACACCATTTATGAACAACTGACAGTATGTACATGTTTAAAATTAAATGCCTCTCTGTGAGATAAGAATGGCAAATTATTCATCATATTGTGAGGTGATTTGTGTTGATCACATGTTGGGAAATGTCTTGCATCTAATTAATTATCTACATCTACATTGATATTGGGCAAAGCCATTCATGTATCTGTGCTTGGGAGTTTTCTCACACTGATTTCATGGAAATTTATTGACTCCAGAAGCCCTGGTAATTTTTGCAAACACAGAATTCTCCAGAGTTAAAAAAATGCAAACAACAAATTACCTTATGAAAGTATTGGCGGCCTACAAGGTGTGATTACATGGTTAGAAAGTATGTCCAGTCTTGTAATGATTTATTATCTTTTTCCTGGAAAAGCTCTAAACTAGTGAAAGAGACCCTTCCTGAATTATGCAGAGATTTCCTGAGATCGATTGGGAACCAAGCACAAGCTGTAGCAGATTCAGCCTGGGGTCACAGAAATCTAATTACTGAGCAAGAGCATTTGTGTTTGCACAAAAAATCTAGGTCACCATCAAACCATAATTTTCAACGCACTACAACCTCTATCTGTGATAAGCTACAGGTCAAAAACAAAGACTGCATCTTTGAAAACACAAACAGTGACAAAGGGTATGAGAAAAAATTCTGTTCGGCATATAATTTCGTATCGCCCAAACATCGGTCTTGGTAAGCGTTGGTGACAGCTGCCCCAATAATTTTTGTCCATGTACGTTGATGACGCCGGCCTCTCCAGACAGGCGAGACAAAGGCCTTTCACCCGGCATTTATACCAAAGTCTCACACCTAAACACCACCAACAACAACCTCCTTCCCTCACAAAATATGCTCAAAATCTTGCACAGAAACAATTCTCCACTCTGGATATTCTAAATCCTGGATCGGTAATGTTATTTAGTCCGCAAATGACATCAGAATTTTGCGGCATGCGGTAACCAGTCGCCATCTTGGCCAAGGTAGTATATCAGATTGTCAGGACGAAATTAAACCATCTTTTCTCGATTCTGCGGATACTACTTGCGATGTGGACTATTTCTACTCCCTCCCGGTACATTTTCCACAATAAGGTGAGGAAATACTTACCCGTATTGGGTCCCTCCGTGGGTAAACCCGAAATAGTTATTTGCAGCCATAATTTTTTCGGGCACGCTTCTTTCTCCTCGGTCGACACGGGAGTCACGTGGTGGATTAAAACCGCGAACTTTGCCGAACTTTGCCGGAGAAGGCCGACATGTCCCGAATGGAAATTCGAGTGACATCGGCAAAAGTCGGGTATCTTCGGGTCGAGCAGAAGTCACCAAGGTCGATCCGGTGCGAACTGGAGAAGCGCCGCTCCGATATGGAAAGTTTTAGCAGGCCAGACCAAAAATCGGCTAGCAGCTGGGTAATGAAAGACGACACATTGCTTTAACTGTGCAATTCATTTGGTAAGGTAGCCACGGATGTTTTTTTAGTTGTTCTTGAATGAAAGAGAACGGATGTTCCGGTGGGGAGGGGGGCGGGCCGGGGGCTATGAAAGTAAATAGACCCGAATAGAAATTATAACGGTGTCATGTCACGAGTGTGGCCCCAGTACGCGACATGCATAAACAGTATGGTATGATTAGTCTGAGTTGCCACTGTACAGGGACGTAACATCGGGGCCAGTGTTGGGGGTAACATATTATAATTTGTGCCAACATTTTATAACCCCCTTTAGGCTTTATATCTAGATCTAGTCAACGGTATGGTGCCCTAGAAGTGTTGATGAAATTTTTTGCCCGACAGAAGAATATTGTGCATTTCTAATATTACAGCAGATCACAAAAATCACTCTTAGAAAGATTTCAATATGTCCCTACAGGAGTTGTATCATAATGTATCGCCCTTTGTCTTTCAGAAATAACCTGCCATTGTTGTAGTAGAGTCATGGAGGGTTCACAAGAGGTGCTTGTGGATGAAACCAGTGAACCACAGAAGAACACCAGGTTTCAGGTTCAAACTGTGGACACTGATGACAATCAGCAGCGCCTGGCAGTTCCACGATGGACTCCGAACGTCCCGCCTTCTCCAACCGGCGCCAGGGACAGAACTGAGTCGGACACTTCTCAGAACCCCTTTGTGGATGTAGAAGAAGGCCCAAACGCCGTGAAGTTTTCCGATAACGTTAAGGAAGATGCGCCGCCTTCGGATGGCCCCAAAGAGCCGCGAGAGTTTCGCTTGAAGGCGTGCGTTTTCTTCCTGGCCGTGCTGATCATAGGAGGGGTCATCACGATCTGGTACTTCTACGAGGAGCCAGAACTGGAAGCCGACATCGGCCACACCTACAGACTGTTCGAGAAGACCAAACTGTTCTCTTTGGAGAATCGGCGGGGAAAGAAGATCCTAGACGGCCGCGTAGGCGTGCACCTTCCGGACCACGTCGTCCCGTACTGGTGCGGAGGGAAGAATACTGTCTGTCTGGAGTGGAAAACCTTCGCAAAGGTGCACATAACGTCTAGGTCCGTTAATGATGCAGTGGAATGTTACCGTATAGTCTGGGAGATTTATAAGCCAACCTTGGCCCCAGAGGATTGCTTGAACATGCTACCAGGACACTGGTATGGAGGGGGAGAGATGGACACACAGGAGTGGCCGTTAGAGAAAGGAAACAGAACCACAGTACCATTCGTGTCCTCAGATCTGAGAATGGAGCCAGAAGGGTTTGGGTCCATCCTGGAGCGCTACTTTCTGTCGTCTACGGGAGTTGCGGTTGTCGTCGACGACAAGGTCCCTCTACACGTGGGGATCAGCAACGAAAAACTGTGTTTAAAGGCGTGGTATGACAGGTCGCCATTTCCCGATCCCAAGAACGCACAACCCATGCTTAATTACAGTCTCTGTGTTGGTTCTGATGTAAAAGCTGTGCACAAGTATGTGTTAGACAATATCTTGCCAAGAGTGAACACCACAAAGTCCGTACAACCAGACACAACACTGATGCAGTCCCCTAGATGGGCCACATGGCCGTACCTAAAGTCAAGCACGAACCAAACGACTGTCACCAACTATGCAACCGGTATTACAAACAACAATCTCACTCACAGTGTGATTGAAATCGGCGATGGTTACTCCACGAAGTATGGCGATTTTGACTTTGATCCAAGCAAATTTCCCGACCCTGCTGGTATGATAGGACAACTGAAACAGGAACAGTTTAAAGTCAGTTTATGGATACATCCATTTGCAAACTATGATTCTATGACTTTTGTTGAAGGTCTCAGAGAAGGCCATTGGGTTAACAGTGCAAAGGGAAATGCCCCGGGGATTGTTAAATGGTGGAACGGTTACGGGACTGTTATTGACGTGACCAGTAGAGATGCCCGGACATGGTTTATTGGTAAAATCAGAAGCCTCTTGCAGAGTTCTGGGTGTGATGGTGTGTACTTTGATGGCGGGGAAGTCAGTTACCTTCCTGCAGGGTTTGTAACAGAGTCAGAGCTTGTGGTACCAGACGAGTATGCCACGCTGTATGTTAGCAAATAGCTGCTGAATTTGGTCCAAGCACTCAAATCGGAGTCGGCTATAAGAGCCAGGACATGCCCATGTTTGTCCGCATGACTGAAAGGCGTTCTGCGTGGGACGGCAGACGCGGCCTGAAGTCCGTCGTGCCTACCGCCCTCACCATGGGCATTCTGGGATACCCCTTCGTGAACCCCGGCCCAGTGGGGGGTTCCGATGAGGAACGGCCCGACCGAGAACTCTACATACGCTGGCTGGAGCTGGCCGTCTTTCTTCCCGTCCTAGAATTCTCCTGGCCACCGTGGCTGTTCAGTCAGGACGTGGTGCAGTTCACCCAGAAGATGTTGAAGTTACGGGAGGACGTCGTGACCGCAAACATGGTCAAACTCGCAAGCGAGAGCCTTGAAACAGGGGAGCCAATCATCCGTCCGCTGTGGTGGGTCGCACCGAAGGACAACATCGCGCAAGTTGTGGATTCTGAGTTTCTCATCGGTAACACAACGCTAGTTGCACCCATCCTGGATCCATCCTCAACTACAAGAGACATCTACCTTCCCACTGGATTCAAGTGGAAAGAAGGACTTAGAGATGGTAGTGTCTACAATGGTGGCCAAATGCTGAAGGACTATCAAGTTAATCTGTATGAAATTGCATACTTTACTAGAGTTGACACTGAAACATGAGTTTCACGGATGCAATTTGCAAAGAAAATGCAACTTTATTGCTCACATTTGCTTCTTTTATATTTTCTATTGGTTGCGTATTGCCTAAATATTACTCATGACATCAGAGATCATTATCAATCTGTAATTGTGTATATACAAAATATGCAGCAAATTAAAGATAAAATTTCTGTGATTTTTAAACCTGAGTTTGTAGAAAAGATGCCAAATATGTTGTAAGAAAAACTTATGTTGTCATACTGCTTACTAGTTATACACATGTACTAGTATTGAAGTTATTTTACATGTTAACCATCCTACATGTGTATAAAATATGTATTCCTGAAATGTCCAGCCACTTTTTATAAGTACATGTACATCTCTGTTTGACATTGATGCCATAGTAAAATTAGTATACCATCACACCATACATCCACCATACATACGCAATATAGGTGTTACATGCAAAACATAATGTTACATGTAGAATAGTAGCATATATGCATATGGCTGCTAATGGTCAGTTTCTAATTGCCGTGGTAATTTCTTCTTATCAGGTGTAATTTATCAGATATTGGTAATGCCTATATCATACAGATAATATCATTGCATTACCTCTGGCCAGTGATGAACTAGGATTTTGTGAATTTCAGAGTACGCAGAAGCGGCAGAACTCTCAATACATTTTCAGGGCTCAAAATACCACCTGTATATGCAGGATAGTGCAGGTAAAATTGGAGCTGTGCAGGTATTTCTGTTGTCTACCTGCACCTGGTCCATGTACTGGGTATATGCAGGTTAGTGCAGGTAAAATTGGAGCAGTGCAGGTATTTCTGTCAGATGTCTACCTGCACTAAACCTGCACTGGTACATGGACTAGGTTTATAAACAAATGTTTATGTGGATTATATTTGCTGCATTGACTGTTACTACCTATGAAGTATAAGAGAAATAATGACAAAGGTTTCTGAACAGTTTTAGTATGATGTGATCTATGCTTTCTAAGTCAGTTTTACAGGTAAAATTTGTCTGGCTCAGGTAGTGCAGGTATGCAAAGAAAAGTATATTGAGCCCTGATGATGAAGGTGTTTGATGTAAGGTAGCTGATGGTGTTGAGAATTACTAACATAAAGCTAAGGTATATTATAGATTTGTAACCTGTATGAAGTCTAAAGGATTCTAGCCACTGACTAGCAGCTGCCGGACTAGATGAAGATGACAACAGTGAAATCAATGTCAGTACAAAGGCATTATGTAAACAACTTAATGATATCACTTACATGAATGTATACATTGTACATGCAATCAGCACTCTTGGTCACTTTAAACTTTTAAACAATAAATGACGAGGATCTGTATTAACATGTAGTTGAAGTGAAATCTCCCAAACACATGGAGCAAGAGTTTAGAGATCTTATACTTCCATGACATAATTAGAGTTTCTTGGATATGTCACTTATAAATTATGCAAATAAGGTTTTGATAACATTTGTGCCCAGTGATGACCTCCTGTCAGTCAACAGTGAACATGACAATGTGGGAAATAACTGCAAAAACCAGACAGACCAAAAACAATACCTCTCTGGGAATTAGCAATGACTTCATCAACAATGATGGACAACCAAGAATCTCCAAGCAGATCTTTTGGTAGCTGCCAGGCAGTATCCATTTGCCTGACAGTTACCATAAAACCCTAAATTAGGCTGGCGAAAAGGAAAGAACAGAAAAGGAAGCCAGATAAAAATGCAAAACACACCAGAAATACGCCTGAACCTGAACCTCTGCTTGGAGAGTAGCCATTGACCCCTTGCCTGATTTGGAATGTCTGCCAGTTGTCAAATAAAGTTGATAAATAACTAATTCTACCAACTTGACTTCCCGTCATTCCCACAGCTCTGACCTTTAGCCATTTATTTTCTCTCACTGCAGTGAGACGTGCCTATAATAACATTAACAGACAAACTCACAGAAAAAAATATCTTGGTACAAAGAGGTGATAACTTGAGAGAAGTGTGTGTGTGGTCTGCCTAGTACATAGGTTGTCTTGCAGACATATGTACACCACAGTAGCTTAACCTGTCTTTCAGTGAAATAGTCATTGCGCGTATTAAGGATGTATTTTCATTACTGCATGTTGTATTTATGAAAAGCGTTGTAAATATATACCGGTATGTAATGTACCCAAGTGCTGCCTTACTCTCAAGTAAAGACACAATTGAGATGACTTCAGCTATTACACAAATGTACGTTTTTTTTTTACAACTTCTCAGTTTTGAGCATGAATTGATCTATTATGTATGCAGATGATTGTTGTGAAAATGTATGTTAAATTATAGGTTGTCAATATGAAAATAGGTCAATAAATATCTTCAACATTGAAATGATTTTCACTTTGTCTTATTGATATGAACATCCTCTATATACTCGAGTTTTCTTAACTTATGCCTTTCCAATATAATGAAGAGACTTGAGCCACTTCAAAATACTGCAAGGTAATTTATGCTCAATAATTAGACCTTCCTACAGGGTCCTTTAGGGGAATTATTTAACTTTGACCTACATGAATAACATACCAGCTCCACTCAATGCATAGTTGGAGCTAGCCTCCTTCGCAGTCTTGTTGGGCGTCAGCGTTATTTTTTCTCTGAGCAACGTGAGTAATATGCGGCCGCGAGGGACGATTTGCTGCTGAGGGAGTTGCCTAAGTTGGAGCTATTTTGGACCATTGCAAGATTGCCAAGATTCAAGAAATAAAATTAAGCAAATAATGTATATGTAAAACTTACCTGGATGCATCACTGGCAATAGCAAGCTGCTGTTATTTTCCCTCGTGTTGGCATAGGCTGCACTCTTTGGTTTGAAGTTGCATGGATGGACCATACAAATTTCTTTTGTTGGTTTTCAGACTTAGAAGAAAATACATTATCAGGGTTCGAAATAAGTACCTGCATTATGCATATGCTTACTTCTATGGGAAAAATCGAGAAAAACTGGTTGTTATGGCCAGCTTATAAAAGTGGCTGCTTTGCAAGCAAGTTTGACTGTATCTCTTATTAACTCTTATTTAACAAAAAAATTAAATACAGAGACCCACACACTAACAATTTCATCCACAAATCTGTTTATCATCACCTTTTGCAGTAAATTCTGACACAGCAAAGTCACCATATAATGGTCACAAGCCTCAAAATGTTCCAATAGTTGGTGTTACGAAAAAGAATTTACTATCATAATACATATGTATACTGTCTTGTAGTTTCAAAAAACCAATGTACAACTGAACCAGCTTTATGAAATAGATTATGGATATAGTTTTCATACTTATAATTACTATTATTCACATGCTAGCTTCTGTATGAACAGGTCATAAGTATGGTCAACTGCTTTCAAATTCAACAAGTATTTAACTACTTTGACAACACACAACTTCCATTCCATATCAGATAGATTTGACTATATTGCAGCAATGGATTGAGGGTTCCATACATGGGATTGTCCATTTAAAATATTATAACACTCCTTTTTTACCAATTACCATTTGTTTTTTCAAGCACAAAAATTTCACTATTTGTCCGAGATATCATATTTTGGCAAATGGCAAAAATTGAAGGCCCCTTCCCCAATTACATTTCAGTCTGAAAGCATTTTGCACAACCTGAGGTTGGATCAAAGGTGTTCTATGCAAAGCAAGATGGATCCCATTTTAAGAATGTTGAAGTCCATTCTTGTTACTTGACATATATCAGCTTCTCACCACAGTTTACGAGTGTTTAATACATACCACATACATGTATCATGTAGTCATCATGTGAAACATCAAACACAAAAAGCAGATGTAATAATGAATCTGCAATTATAATTTCTATCTAGAATCACTGTACTTTCAAATGAAGTCCCACCCTTCATTTCAAAGTCGGAAATTGGTTGCTTTGTAAAATGTAAGGACAAATAAAGTACGTCAAAAATACATCAGAAGGGATAAAATTGTAGCACAAATATAGTGCCACCTAACCCCTTCGTATCAACTTCCTGAAACAATACCTGTTGCAAAAACAATACCTGTTGCAAAAAACATACAGATTATGTGATCAGAGTTTGCCAGCAAAGTTAAACTTGACACAGATCCATCAATAAGATTGCTAGTATGCCAAATGGTAGATTCAAACATCTACAATTCACTGCCCGATTTTCACACAACATTATGCAACAAGTTCATGATTATGATTAATGCATTGCCACAAAGCTCTCCAGTTTTGCCGGTATGACTCCTTTGTATTCGATCTGGAACCTCTTGATTGCTCTGGCAGCCAGACATTGCAAGGAAGTGTAGTTGAGGGGATTGATGGAATTCTCCAACGACTTCTTTGGAAGCAAGTCGAAGGAAGTCTTGCCTTCCAGGTTGCAGGCATCGAAGTGTAAACCTGCCTTGAGGAGCTCTTTCATGATGTCCGCCTGGTTGTTCTTTGCTGCTATGTGCAGCGCAGTGTTGTTTTCTACATCCACCGCGTTCAAGCATGCCCCGCACTCAATTAATATCTTAACAGCTTCTAGAGATGGAAACTTGCATACCGGGTACCTCCCCACAGTCGTAGTGGCCTCATCCACCGCGAAATGCAGTGGAGTCATGCCTTTTGCCCCCCGCGGCTTGAGGTGTAAGAATCGGTACACCGCCTGCCGTTTTAGGAAGTCTTCCCTCACAGTACACTTGACCTTGGTGAGGAGACATATCAAGTGCATGATGATGAGGATAGCCCTGTTGAGATGCGTGATGTCCTTCTCTTGCAGGGGGGTCGCCATGTAGTGGAGCATCCCTTTCTCCACCTCCGCTACGGCTTTGGCAAAAACAGTCAAGGTGTCTAGAAAGGTCAGCTTCCTGGTGTTGTAACTGTTGGGTGGAGGCTCTTGCAACATGTAGGAGAAAAGTTCTGCGAAGGACAGCAGGCTGCTCTGAGTCATGGGGTTGAGCGGTTCGAGGTTGGACTGCTGCATGTCCAGGGCGTACGTCCACAGGACGATGCAGCGGTCGAAGTTGCCCGCGTCCGCGTACACGGCGCCGCGATAACGGATGTAGTACGACGTGTCGGGGTGAGAGGGCCCGAGAATCCTCTCCCGTATCAGCAGAGCCTGCATCCTCATCTCGTCTGGGTCCGCCATCAGTTCCTCCAGTTCCCGGAACGTCTGAACCTCCACGACATTGTCGTATGCCGTCACCATCTTGGAAGGCGGTTTGGTTACGATGTCCCACCTGTTGGCAAAGCGTTCGTCCATGGACATCCTCCAGTACTCTAACGCCCCCGGCAAGTCCCGCTTCTTATCCACAAACGTTGCGCCCAAGAGTTCGAGCGCGTCAATCCTCTCTTTCCGAGAACACTCGTGCCTGGCGATCAGGTAGTGAACGATGTTGGTGTGTCCCGTGACGCTCGCCGCCATGAGCGGCGTCATGCCGTACGAGTCCTTGGCCATCTTGGCCTTGTATTTCAGCAACAATTTCATGATCTCCAGACTTCCTGACTCAGCGCAGTCATGCAGGGCCGTGTTGCCCTTTATACTCTTCCTGTTCACGTCTGCGCCCAGTTTCAGTAGGTACTCTACGATGTCCCTGTGCCCCTTGTAGCAGGCGATCATGAGGCAGGTGTGACCGTGACGGTTGGAGATCTCAAGGTCGGCGTGGTGCTCGACCAGGTACTTCACGATTTCAAAATGGCCGTCGAAACATGCGGCTCGGAGCGGGGTGGAGTTGGTGAGCGTGGTGTTGTTGACAGAGGCGCCATGTTGTATGAGAGACTTGACGATGTTGAGATGGCCGGCAGCCGACGAGCACCACAGCGGCGGGGCGCCCTCTATCGTTTCCCCGTCAAACGTGACGGACCCTCCCTGCTCCACGTCGGCGCAGCAGTCCTCGATGAGATAGTTCACGACATCAAGGTGGCCGTACCGCGCAGCTGCGATGAGGGGAGTCGAGCCTTCTGTAGTCGCATTCAGAAGTGCCGATCTGAAAAGGCATAAAAGGAAAACTGACGTATTGTTGCATCTCAAATCCTATTTCTCTACAAACATCTTGCAAATACTGTGTAAGTGTAACAGAGCTGAGACGTGTTCGATTCGCTGGTCACTGCTTTAGGGCAAGCGGAGAAATCATCTCATCTCGTCACTTGTTCTCTGGAGGCCTAGCGGGAAAACCTATACTAGAAAACTGACCTACCCAAGAACCATCTCCGATCCAGAGACACGGGATTTGATATACAAGACCTCAAATCAACCATGGCGGACAGATCCCTGTGGAGTACGGTCGTGCAGCAACTTACCCCGCCCGACAGGGACGACGGATGATGATGATGAACAGAGCTGAAAATACCAATTTTCTTCTAACTGAAATATTAAGCCGATGACAAAAATTGGTAGCACTGACTCATGCTTCTGTTACATTACAGATATCATTTTGTAAATTACATGTACTAGTATATACTTCTACTAAAAAGTTTGTAGAGCTAACATTAGCTATATTATCTTGATTTTGTTTCCATGGTTCCATACATAGTCCTGATATGTACTAAGTGTTTCATGTACTATCTACTAGTCTATGATACGCAAATGTTCAAATCATAAGTTCCAAACTTAGTTAACCTTTTCTGTTTTCATTTCTCGTAAGGTATTTTCAATTTAACGTTACATCTGCAAATTGCATGAGCTTGGCACACAATACACATGTAATGAGTTTCAGGTATTCAACCATGTTTTTGCTGAATTCGTATAAATGACGGATATACAACTACAGGACTCCCAAATGCATCTTTGAACGTCAGCAAATCAAAATTTCCTTCCTGATAAATATTACAGGAATTTGATTAAGGTATAAGAACTAGTCTGTCGATTACGTTCTAGTAAACAAAATGAAAACCTGACTGGGCAGTTCTTTTTGGCCATGTAAAATTTAAGGTTGTGTTCGTAGGCTTGTTATTTAGAAGGTATTAGTACTTGTTTTATATAATAATTATAAAATAAGGAGGTGAAAACGAACAAGGAAGAAAGAAACAATTTGCTGAACAAGCAACGAACTGACACAGATCTCTAGACATTATGTGTTTTTGTAATACCATGTCATGCCTAAGGATATTACTCCATGTTTTAATACCTAAATTATAGTAATACTAGTATATATTAACTAGGATAAAGAAATCTGTATCTCTGCTATATTTTGTCTGAACCTTGTGTCCTTGCTCTTAATGAAAAGCTTTTGATGTTCTGAGTTTTTGCGATCTGAACGCTGAATCGAGAGGAAGTACTGGTGATAAATTATGAAATCAGAAACGTACTTTCAGTTTCACATAGCATGATATAGGGACGTATTCCAGCCAAGGAGGTAAATGTAATGCATTGAATCTTACATTTGACACCAAAGATGGAGCATTAATACACGTAACGTCAACATCATGTGCTCTCGTGTCAGATCAAGTTAAATATTCCTGCATAATGCCAGAAGGTTTATATAGATCACCTTATCTCTGGACTTTGCTGGTCGAGTAGAGTCCGCAGCGCGGCCAGTTTCCCCTCCCTGGCCAGGTCGTACACCGCCGCTCTGTTCTCCATGGGAGAAACGCCTCTCTGGGGTATCATGAAAGAGTAACGATGAACATGGCAGCTATTTATTTGCGATCCAAACTTCCTCTTTATTTGCCGAATTTCTCGCAGCAGACGTAACGATTGTGGCAAAACATGGCGGATGCTATGTGGAGTCGTTTGCGACTGTCGTAAAATCTTGATCGGACGCAGACGACCTTTGTGTCTCAAAAGCGACATCTAGTGACTTGAAGATGCCATGCACTTCCATCTGAGAATACGTCGATATTTTTACTCACCAGTTTCGACATTAGACGGAGGTGTCCAGAAAGCGACGAGGTTCCATAGGGTGACCAATGAAATACGGTTGCTCTCGATGTTTTTCTGATGAACGTTCAACCCGCTTCTTCAGTTCAGTCACCTGAAAGCCCCGCTGACTATCTGCTGCAATTTTACTCCCCCGAGTGCCAAATGGACATCAGCTCTCCCATGCTTCTCAAAAAGTTTTGAAAATTCTCCAGCCTGCCCCTCTTCTTCTTCTTCACGTCCAACTTGTCGGCCTCGTCCTCCAGACGAAGAGTCAGGTACGTCAGTAGTTTCTCTTCTTCCAACTCGCACTTTCCTCTCGCCTCCCACCTGTCTACTGCCGCGAAGTACCAGCCGATGATTTTCTTGACTTTCCGCACCCTGCGGAGCGTTGTCATGGCCAACTTGAGTTTCTCCAACTTCTCAGGTGTGTAGAAGTCGCGGGAGCTGAGGATTTGTCGGATTTTCCCTTTCAGGACGACTTCGCTGGCGGCCAGATGGACCATGTAGGCGCCGAGCACCCTGTCCTCCGCCCGGTTCCAGGACCTCTTCCCTCCGTGGACAGAGTTGGCAACTGCCAGGTCCAAGATGCCCTGGACTTTCGCCTAAAGAAGAAATAGGAACAGGATAGTAACGTTATACGTGTAGTTTTAATCATCAGTTTCGTCTTGTTCCTGGAACATCTTTTCTTAACTTTGCCCCTGATAATGGCGCAAAAATATCCCCTTTTATTTGGAGTACAGAAGTACATTAAGAGTTACCGTGGTGTCAAAATTAAATTTGAATTGCAACTCAACAACGTTAACAGATAGGAAGACAATTAAATTTTTTACCAACTTATCTAGCTTGATACGTTCATGTTAATTCAATGAGTAGTTGCGCTCTTACGTACATGTGCTTTTTTCGCTTCCTGCTGTGTTAAACTCTTGACGGGCCGGACGGAGATTTTCTGACTTTCTTTCCGTCTCAACACGCTGGTCTCGGACCTGTGGACCGGCGTATCCATGTCCTGTGACAACTCTGCTGTGTCATTTGAACTTTGGCGTTCAGCAACGTGAACAATCTTAGGGTAGGGAACCCGGGAAGCCTTCGAGGCGCTGCAGAGACGTGTCTTCATGTCGTCTACGGTGAGAACCTCTTCCCAGACCGCCGGGTGGGCGACGTGTTTCTCCCGGATAAATGGTTGGATGGAGGCGGCGTGGTGACTGCACCCGTCCCACCTCAGTCTCCTGCTAACGGCGTTCACCAGAGAGGCCGATGGCGCCTGGGTGACCGGCGCTGAGAGTGGCGCCTGCCCGCTTGTACTGCCCACAGATTCCCCTCCACCTGACGACAGGCCCAACAGTGGCTGCGATACCGCAGCAGATCGCTGGGTGAAGTTTCGGACGGTGCGTCCTATGACAGCGCCCACGAGACGTCCCGTTGAAAACATTTCGTCAATTTCAAAAGTTTGTTCGCTTTCGTATAGCAAAAACTCGTACGTATTTGCAGTAACTGCAAACGACAACGTCTGTTTACACGACGCTTTTGAGTTCTGTGTTCTAGAACAAGTGAGCATGTCTTTGTTACGTGTCTGGTCAGTGGTAGATGTTTGAAAGGTGTTCTAGAGCTAACATTCCTTCGTTCTTCAGGCCGATGCTACATCCCCAATAAAACATTTGCCGTACTCTACATTTTTGGGTGCACCATGTAAGATAAAAATAAGTTAAATGTCAGCAAAATCTAATCATGTTTAATAATATTTCCAAAGAAAAGTACAACAATGATTTTATTATTCTGACACTTACATACTAGCCTCGGTACCATCCTACTTGTATGCCGGTGTGCCGGTGCTCCCACACTCGCTTCCCTTCTAGGGAGCTCCGGCATACAAGTAGGATGGTACCCAGGCTACTTACATACTACTACATGTTAACATATTTAACGTTACATACGTAACGTCAAGCCTAGTAGAATATTTGGGTGCACAGCTCCAATTCTGGGTGCACTAAGGTGTACATGCACACAGTATTTCGAGCCCTGCTATTACTTCTTTACCACATGTTATCCTATATTATTTCTGCACAGACAATAAAGCAATACGTGCATCATAATCTTGACCAGCAGTGGATATTCTTGACTCACAGCACTTTACTAGTATCCTTACCAAGGACATTATACTACTACGCAAAGAGTTGATGTGATGCCATGAATTGATGACATGGGTGGATCAAGGTCAACGCCAGATAGTTTCCAGGAGCATAAGCCAGCTCCTTGACTCTAGGCCAGCATGCTTGTTCCTAGATTCATAAACTTTCATAGTACATGTACTAGGATAATATCCGGTGATTTCTATAACCACTCCTTGGTAGACCTTGGTAACATACCAAGTGCGTGGTCGGATTGGTCAGGGCATAGGTCGGGCCACGCCTTTCCGCCCTTGGAATGTTCCATGTTTAATTAACAGAGGAGGGATTTCGTATATTACTAGACATAGGTGTATTACTAGACATAGTTAGCTCAAATTGTAGACAAATAACATCATTAGAGCAATTACAAAAAGATACATATGACATTTCAGTAAGTTTTTGGTATCTTAAAGCGGTGTTTTAAATAAGAAAAAATCTTTTACAGCTTGTCACCCCCTCTCATATTTTCAAATGTCCCTAAGACAACCTTCGACCTTCCTGGCAGATTCCCGCGCTTTTTGATTCGAGGATGCGCATTCCAGCTGAAGAGGACCCAGGGACGGTCGGTGTTGAGCGCTTCATTCCGATTCCTGTAGACTTCAGAAGTCAGTGGGACCAAATCCTAAAACTACAGGGTTTAATAGGTAAGGAAACCTTCTTGTGTTTGTAATGTTAAGCTTGTCAAACCAAAGAACTTTCAAACGTTATATAAAGCGATGCCGGCGCCGATCTCTAGTCTTCTTGGAAAACCCGGTTCGCAGACCCATCTGTTTCTACTAGTTGTAAGACTGTATCTCTCTGATCTCTGTATCTGTATCTGTATCTGTATAGCCGGTATAACCGCCTTTCGGCGTAACACACCAGCTTAATTTCAGCAAATATTTTAGTACCCGCGTGGGAAACACGGCCTCCAAATTACTCACTGTCAGCATTTCCCCCACTGAACTAAATTTGAAAGTACTACAATGTATGGCATATAAACTAATGCGCCAAGTTAATCATCAAAACTTTTGCGAACACTCAACAGACAGAATTATTTCTCGTTTCCATGTCATGCGCTCTAGCTAGAGATTTTGCATTCTCTAACAATACTTCCTCTAGCCGTAGTTTCCCATAATTTTGTGCAAAAATGTGATTTGTGTGTGTGTGTGTGTGTGTGGAGGTTAGCTTGGCCCATTGCTTCCTTCATTGTTAGAATATCTTCACAGGTCCCTATTGTTAGATTTTGGCCCTGGCTGAGCTGAAATTTGCATGTTGTTGTTTTTGTGCTCTCTGTTGTCCAGTTTCAATTGTTATTATGCAGATAGCTTTAGGTTACACCTTTCTGCATTGTTTGTGACTCATTGTTATGGTAAATATGTTTGTGTAGCATACCCCCAAGCCCTCTAATTAGCATAACTCCTGTATTATGTCTGGTGCAATATGAATACACATAATTTGCGAGTATTATAATAATTTAGCTTCAAGGACCAGACTGAGAAAGTGCTAGTAGTAGTTATCATCATTTTCTAGTTTATTTCACCCATTTGTGGTCATCTTCTGACAAATCCAAGGTTGTCCTATAAAATGCACAATGTAACCCCAGTAACACTGAACACTAGTAACGTTACTAGTAGTAGTACGTAGGCATCCTTTAGTCTCTATCAGATTCCTTTTGCAGGCTGAATAGAACATAGAAATTGGCCTTAAAAGGCGGATATAATTGCCTGGGAAACTCCTCTGGCTAAGTATATCCCTTTTTAGGTCGATTTCTATGATTTACTAGTATTCAGCCTGCAAAAGGAGTCTGGTGGAGACTAGGCATCCTTCCATCTGTATATGATGGTAACACTCTGGTGCCAACACTTCCAGATGTGTCAGATCCCCAAACTACCTCCCATTCTTGGGGGGAGGTAGTTTTGGGATCTAATACACACAAAGTATAGGCTATTTGTTCTTTTTTGACTGAATGGGCTTTTTCTTTAGCTTATCACTGTGTCCTAGCACAGTGGACTTTGGTATTCATAAAATTACAACATTCCTATATTTGAATGACTTTTGATACCGCAGTACTGATCAGTAAAGATTTATTTTGCTGTATTTTACAGAATAAGGGCATGATGGCAGGGTCAACACGATCACAGGACTTCTGTCACGATCCGCATGCAGGCTTCCTCTTGCAGGGCTTGCAGGAACTGCGGTCTGACAACCTGCTGACAGACGTCATCCTCTGTGTCTCTGGAAGAGAGATCCCGTGCCACCGGAATGTCCTCGCTGCTTGCAGCGGGTACTTTCGTGCCATGTTCTGTAACGGACATCGTGAGAGCCAGGAGCACAAGGTCACCATTCACCAGGTCAGCACCAACACCCTGCAGCTGCTTGTGGACTATGCGTACACGTCGAAGGTCACCATCACAGACGACAATGCAGTGAAACTGCTGGAAGGCGCCAACTTCTTCCAGATCCAACCCGTCCATGATGCATGTGTGAAGTTCATCTCTGAAAATCTTAGCTCTAAGAACTGTCTGCAGATGGTACACATGGGGAACATGCTGTCCTGCCCAGACCTGGGAGAAGAGGGCATGGTCCTACGTCACAAGGAGGTTCTCAGCTGTCAGCGGGACCCCAGAGTTCCTTTATTTGACAAAGGAACAGCTCATCAAGCTGGTCTCATCTGATGACCTTGGTGCCTCTGAGGAAAGCGTGTACACTGCCGTGATGACCTGGATCAAACATGACGTCAGGAAGAGGAAGAAGGAGATGAAAGAACTGCTGGAGCTGGTCAGGTTCCCCTTCATGGACAGGCTGTACTTCATTGAGAATGTGGAG